GGGGGTGCCTGGGGCCGAGGAGCTGCCGGAGCCCGTGCTGGTTCCAGGGAGTCACTGACATAGCTCAGGGGAGAGGGGGACAAGGTGACCCTGGCTCCGGGAAGAGGTGGCGGGGCCCCTGGGAACCCTCCTGATCCCTCGCCCTCTCACTGTGTGACCTCAGCCAGGTCCCTCCTCCTCTCGGAATCTCAGCTTTGCAAAGGGGAATGATTCTCCCTCCCCCGATGCCCAGAACCGCGAGGCTTGCACAGTGGTGACCACGTGTAGTAAACGTTCAGGGGCAACACAATTCGTGCCAATAGGTAACATTTATTTGAGGACTCACCACCGATCAGGCTCTCTGTGCGTGGCGTGTCTATTTAATCGGCTGAGCTGCCCTGGGAGGTAGGTGCTACTGTGGCCCCCGTGTTGCAGATGGGGAAACTGAGGCCCAAGGCCACACATTCACACTCCACCACTGAGCTCGACGGTTTAATGGCAGGATGCGGGTGGGGCTGCGGCTGCCTCTCACCTGCTGGGAGGCGCGGCGAGCTGGGGCCGGGGGAACCCTGTGTAACAGCTGCTCTCGGGGCCCCAGCTTGCGAGGTGAACCTGACCCTGGAGGGCCGTCCGGAGCCGCAGGGCGTCCTCAGCACGCCTTACTTCCCCAGCTACTACTCGCCCAGCACCCACTGCTCCTGGCACCTCATGGTGAGCCCCGTGCCCTGCCACCCATCTGCCCTCCGCCCAGGGCACCCTACGGACCTCAGGAAGCCCCGGCGGGGAGGGGACCGCTGTCCTGCCCCTGCTGGAGCAGCCACAGGCTGGGCCCTGGGTGCAAATCTCCCCGGGAGGGGGAGGGGAGGACAAGTGTGGCCAAGGTCCACCTCCCTTGGCCACAGTGGTGCCTGTGTGTTGAGTGACAGACAAACCTCAGCCCCGGCAGGCCCTCTGTGTCGACAGGCCTCCTCCCTTTGCGGGGCTGGGAAGCGGGGCCACCAGCCCAGCCACAGCCCACGGGCCGCGTGGTGACCACTCCTCTGTCACAGGTGCCCTCCCTGGACTACGGCTTAGCCCTCTGGTTTGACGCCTATGCTCTGCGGAGGCAGAGGTATGACCTGCCGTGCACCCAGGGACAGTGGACGATCCAGAACCGGAGGTACCCACCCCCTGGGGCCCCCTTCCTCTCCCCACAGTCACCCGCCTGGGGAGCCCACGTCCCGGACCTCAGAGGGGCAGCGCAGGAAGAGGGCACAGGGCACAGGGCACAGGCGAGGCTCTTAGGCCCGCCGCCCCGGCCCCAGCCTCCCGTCCTGCCACCCGAAGGTCTCGGACACCTTGGCTGTTGATTCTGGTTCGGGCGGGATGGCTTCGCTTCCTTGGCTGCTGTCACCCCACTGTCTGGTCCCCTGAATTCTCAAATGAGACGATGCCGGAGCCACAGGACTCCACGTGCACCCGGGGACCCTTCTTCCCTTACCCCACGCCCTGCTGTTGGCCAAAGTCGAGTGGCTTCCAGGCTGGAAAGCTGCATGGCCAGGGCCAAGCCCGCTCTGGCTAATGTGACCAAGGGTGGCCGATCGCCAGGGTCGCTCCGTATCACCCACATCACCCACGGGACGCTTGCCCTGCTGTCTGTCCTGACTTGGGCCCCCTGAGGACAAAGTTTCGGAGGAAGAAGTGAGCCCTCGGGGAGGTGGGACAGGACACAGCGGGGCCGCCCGTGGGTCGTCCGGGGTTGCAGTTTGATCAGTAGGAGGAGGACTGGTAAATGGCCACTGGGGCAGGCAACCTGGGGCCCCCGGTGGCCCTGACAGCTGCGAGGAGTGAGGCGGGAGGGTGGTGGGGAAGGGAGGCGGTGTAGACATGCTCTCCCCAGTCTGGGAAGAGGTGGGTGACCTGGGACATTTGGGGGAGGGGATACTTACGATGGGAGGGGCTCCATGCCTAAGCCCTGAGTGGGAGCGGCCCCCAGAGGGAGAGGGGAAGGTTCGGGCACCTGTGGCGGTGAGATGATGACGTAAGTTACAGGCAGGGCTGCGGGGTAGGGGGAGTAGGTAGGCCCTCCCGGGGCCCCATTGTTGGGCGGCAGACGTTTGGGGAGAGAAGAGGGATCTTGAAGTAGCCTTGCCGGCCGGGGTGGGGTCCAAGGACGTTGGAGAGAAGCTTCTGCACCTAGTAGGGTCGGGCCTCTGCCCTCCCTTCCAATCCCAGGATTCTGGCCTCAGAGGCTGGGATGCTCATGTGCAAAGTTCCCGACGTCTTGGCTTCACGGAGTTTGAGTGTCCGAGATTCCAGGACATAAAATGCAAAAAGGTTCCAGGACTCTAAAAGCCTCGGATTCTGGGACTGGTGTCCACCTTCGCCAACGCGGGCTTTGTCGGTCGATGCTATTCAGACAAAAGGTCACAGGGTTGACGACGCTCCTTGACTCGTCATCATCCTTTCCGGGGCCCTGGCAATTCATCAGGGACTGTGGTTAAAGGGAAAAAAGGCGAAATGCCTGTAGTGCGACCTCAGGCCCATGCTGTTCGGGAAACCAAAGGCACCCTGTCCCATGGGTCCCGGCGTGTGGGTGTCATTTCTGGGCACCTCCACCTTTATCCTCAGGGAGCTCCCTGGGGACCCAGGGGAGTCACTCTTGCAACCAGAGTCGGGCGAGGCGGTCGGATCCAAAGCGTGTGTGGGTGTGCATACGCATGCCTGTGTGCGTGAGTCCACGCATGTTCGCCTGCACCCGTAAGTGCCCACCCGAGTGCGGATTCTCCTGCAGAGCCTCTGAGCAGCTGTGCTGGCTGTTCACTCTCTTGGCCACGGCGCTCCTGACCAGCCCGCCGGCACCCGGGTGCGGGGACTGACGGCCTCTGTGGCCCTCGCCAGTTCCGAGAACGGCCTGGGAAGTCCCACCTCTATCTCCTGAGACCTTCGGGAAGGATCCAGGGTCCCCAGGTGGAGACTCACGCCCCAGGCCGGCCCCCCGGAGTTCCTGCCCATGTCTGAGTGTGGAAGGGAAGGCAGACGTGTGTCTCCAGATCATAAGCACCGGACAAACATTTCCTCTAGTTTCGCTCTTTTTTGATAATGATCATCCAGTGTAGACGCTGAGAAACTCTTTGAATGAGCATTTGTTGGAAAATTTGCTTGTGTGGGTGGCAAAGATATGAGAGGTCCGGGGAAGGGTGTTGATTTGCAGGCACAGGGTGTATAGGGAGGGGGAGGGCACAGCCCTTGGACCCAGAATGGCCACGGACGAGGAGCGATAGAGGGCGGGTTGGGGGCAAGGGGGGCTTGCCCTTCAGGTGACGATGTAGCGATGAGGAAAGGCTGGGCATCCTCGGCTTTGTGGCCTCCCTCCTCTGGGCCCTTTCTGCCTTTCCCCACCTCCCTCCTTTCTACCCGGCTTCTCCCGGCGCCCACAGCCAAGGCCTCACGCCCTTTGAGTGGCCCGGAGGCGGCGGGGAGGGACGTGGCCTAGTGAGCCTGGCCACCGGCGGCTTGATTTCACAGAACCCGCTCTGGCTGGGCGTCACCACAGCATAGGTTTCCCCTTTACCGGGAATCTGCCTCCTGCCAGCTTCCTCTCCTGTGATGTCACTTTTCTCGTGATCTGCCCGATCATTTCCCCTTCCCTCCCGCTGACGGGAGAGGCAGAAGCACCGGCTCCCTGGGCCCGCGGGAGCCCCCTGTGCCTGACCTGGCTACGGGTGGCCCTCCTAGTCCTCTGTGCCGCTGGGTGGCCAGCACTGCCTGCAGCCACGGGGGCTCCCGGTCAGACTGAGGTCAGCCCGACCCCAGGGCTGGGTGCTGGCCGTGCGCAGGCCCGGCTCCAGCTGCTGCCCTAGACGAGCTCGCAGCCCGATGGCATCAGCAGCTGGCTTTCCGGGAAGTCGTTTTCTCACGTGTTCCTTAACATACCCCGCAAGGGAGATGTTATCACCCCCATTTTATAGACGTGAAAACTGACGCTTGCTGAGGTCGACGTGCCCGAGGTCACGCAGCTGCTTCACGTGGCAAAGCTGGCCTCCAGCTGGGCTCTGCGGCTCTGGGTCCGGAGCTCTGGCCGCCACGCCAGACGCTGCTATTCTCCCTTCTTTAGTGCTTGCGCCTTCTGACCCGCCTTCGCACGTAATCTGTCCTCAGGGAAGGGAATGTGTGCGTGCAGGCAGCCATCCTGGGTCCTTCCTTCCTTCCTTCCTTCCATCCATTCACCCATCTATCCATCCACCCTTCCTTCCTTCCCTCCTTCCTTCCTTCCATCCACCCACCCAATCTTTCTTGAATTCCTCCCGGTGTGGAGTTGCTGATATGCAAGAAGGTTGATAGGGTCTCTTCTGACAGTCTGGGTCAGGCGAGAAGGAAAAACCCCCAACCCGGAGAGGTGAGAAAGCAAGCCGGCCGCTGCGCAAACATGTGCCTCCAGACCCCCATGCTTTGCAGCTGAGCTGGGTTCCACGGCCTTTAGACTCCTGGCGCCTCCTGAAGAGGGCTGGTGGGGGAGGAGGTGACGCTTGGATGGGGAGGAATTAGAGAGCCAGCGGGGGTGCATGCCCTTCCCCAGAAGGCTTTGCAGCAGGATCCAGACATGCAGATGCGCACAGGGGCCCAGCTGGTGCATCACTCCGTGAGGCAGGCTGCGTCGGGGAGAGCAGGAGAGGGAGGGGCAGCCCTACACATGCTTCTGATTATTTCCAGCCAGTGTTCCTGGGGCTTCCTTTCCAGAAGAGGAATCTAGATTATTATGTGAAATTAGCAGCTGACTGAACTTGAAAAAAAAAATTATTTTAACATTGCATCGACGAAACAGACCGTCTTTAACTTGGGTGAGTCAGCCTGAGTCCCTAGATTGTAGCCTCTGCCTTGAATTCTTATGGAGAGACTTGCCCCAGGAAGGCTGTCGCCAGCCCCTGCCCCAGCCCTCCAGGGTAAGCCCCAGATGCTGCCCAGACAGGTCCCGGGGGCACCCGGCTGAGCCACGGGCTGATTCTGGAATTTCTTCTCTCAGATGCCAGTAGGGAAAATGTCCGGTCAGCACGCACTGGTACATGAGAGCCAGAGCTCAGAGTGACCACGCGGCCCTCAGATTCTTCTAGATTGAAATGTTCCACTCCTCTCCCACCTGGCTCTGGTTCCTTCCCTGTCTCTCCAAAGTCTGTCCCTGACTGGGTGGGGACAGTGCCTCACGCCCCTGAGCCTTAATTAAACACGTTCAGGGTTGTGCTGTGACACATTTCCCCCGGCCCCGTGTTTCCCACCTCCTACCTCCGCTGTCCCTGCTCCTCAGGGAAAATCTCCGGGCATAATAATCCATGATAACATTTGTCCACGTTAGAAACAGTCCGATGGACGAGCCAGCCAACCAGCCCAAACCTGCTTTGCTTCCTTAGTTTTAAAAGGACGAGGGCCAGGACTGCTCGAAGGCGCCCCCTAGTGGCGTTTCCTCCCTGTCTTGTCCCCTTGGACCGGAGGAGCCGGGCTTCTCCAAATTTTCCACCTTTAAACCCTTTAAAATTATTGAGCGCCCCAAAGCGTTCTTATGCGGGTCATATCATCTACATTTACAGCATTAGAAATTAGAGGTACGAAAATTTAAAAACACTTACCAATTCATTTAAAATAACGAGCCCGGTGGTGCCTGGGTGGCTCAGTCGGTCAAGCGTCCGACTTCCACTCAGGTCGTGATCTCATGGTTGGTGGGTTCGAGCCCCACGTCAGGCTCTGTGCTGACAGCTCAACCTGGAGCCTGTTTCCGATTCTGTGTCTCCCTCTCTCTCTGCCCCTCCCCTGTTCACGCTCTGTCTCTGTCTCAAGAATAAACATTAAAAAAATTTTTTTTAAATAAAAACAAAAAAAAAATAAAATAACGAGCCCGTTACATTTTAACATAAATAACATATTTTGCAAAAAAAAAAAAATTATATTTTCCCAAACCAAAAACAGTTGGTAGGAAAAAATATCGTTTCACGTTTTTGCAACTCTCTCCTAAACTGGATTAGTAGACCAGAACCAGATACACACATCTGCTTCCACATTCAACCGGCTGCCGTTATCGCTAGCACATCGTGTAGTCTCTGGAAAATTCCCCCGCGTCCTTGTTGAGAGAATGCAGGTGAACGTGGCGGGTATCATCCGAGCATTATTATGAACATAATTTTTACTTTGGACGCCCCGCCCTGAGGTGCCCCGGACCACACTTTGAGAACTGCCTGTTGGTCTGGAGGCAAGGAGAGGATTCACTGTGACTAGACAGCAGGAGGAGGCCGGACCTTAAGCCGGGTCGGTGGCGGAACCCGGGAAGTGGGGCTCACATTGCAGTGACGGCCAGGGTGCCCATCTGCCCCCCCAGAGCGGGCTGAGCGCATCCTCCTAGGTCCTGAGCAGCCTGGATTCTGGTTTACCTCGATGGTTCCCTACCCGAGCCTCATCTAGAAAATGGGACGAGAACAATCCCTGTGTCACGGGATGGAGTTGTGGCAAGAACCTCGAAATCTCTGGGCAGTGAGGCCTTGCGATGTTGCTGTCGATGTGGGAGGGGCCAGACAAGACAACCCCACATCTTCCTCGGGTGTTTGCTGATGAACTCATTGCTTAGTCAGGTGAACTGTGGAGGGCTTGCCATGTTCTAGAAGTTCCGGGGAGGTACCCGGCGTCTGCAAATCAGGGGAGCTGCTCTGTGGGCTGCATCTGCGGTGGGATGCTCCCATCATGCTTTGGGGCGTTCCCGCCTGCTATCTTGACTTCCTCCCGTCCTCTCTGCTGGGGGGGGGGGGGCACTTTCCCTTCCGTCTGCATGTTTTCTGACCTGTGTTCTGGGTGTTTCCTGCGTCTGTAAAGCATCCCTATTTGCTCTGTGAGGGTGCTCCCTTCCCTGTGGGGGGCGTTCCCATGAGCTGTTCAGGGAGGGGATCCCACCTGCGAAGGGAGGGAACCCCAGGCTGCTGTCTGGGTAGCGACCCCGTCACTCTGGGGGTGGGCTGCCCCCCCCCCTTGGTGAAAGCGTGCCCACGTGCTCTGGGAGGCAAGGTGCCCCCAGGCGTGGGGTGGGATGAGCCCCCCCCATACCTCCATCCCTGGAGATGGGAAGATTCCTCCCTGCTCTCTGGGCAGAACTTCACCCCTCTGTGGAAGTTCTCCCACCTGCTCTGTGGGCACGAGGGCATCGTCTTGGCGTGGGGGAGTCCCGGAGGGATGTGATGGCCCTCCTGTGGCCAGGGAAATGGTCCCCCCTTCGTGGGACAGAGAAGCTGATGGCCGTCAGCATTACTCTATTGTATTGGTCCTGGGAGCAGAACCGGTGTCTCCCTCAGGTCCAGAGAGAGTCACAGGGAGACCCTCAGGGCTATGGAGGCTTCTCAGTGGGCAGGACAGTGACCGAAGGGGGCACACGGCTGCCTTCCCCCTGCCCCCCTCCACACTGAGCACAAGGGGAGCGTCCTCTCCTGTCTACACCCAGTAGACCAGTCAAGGACTCCTCCCTCTACTGACACACTGAATTTTGTCGGCTTTGGAGTCACCGGGGGTGACCATTTCCCTTATTTTCTAAGGCAGGAAAGCGTGCGGCTCAGAGAGGGCCACGGACTTGCTAGGGAGCCAGGCTTTGAATTTTATCCCGCAGGGAATGGGGAGCCACTGAAGGGTTTTGAGCAGGGGGATGACGGAGGCTGATTTCCAGAAGATGACTGTGGGGGTGAGCATTCACCCAAGGGAGAAGTCAAGACAGATGAGGTGGACGATGGGGGAGCAGCTCCCCCTTCCTCTCCGGCTGCTCTGCCCTTGCCCTGTCTGTGCGCGGGGACCTAAGCTGTCCCTTCCCTCGGGCCGGCCTGTGTGGCCCTGAGCCTCTCTCGGTCGCCCCCAGGCTGTGTGGCCTGCGCACCCTGCAGCCCTATGCCGAGAGGATCCCCGTGGTGGCCAGCGCCAGCATCACCGTGAACTTCACCTCCCAGATCCCACTCACCGGGCCTGGCGTGCAGGTGCACTACGGATTATACAACCAGTCAGATCGTGAGTAGGGGCAGCCTGGGGGGCAGGGCGGGCACCCCCCGACGCCCCTGCAGCTTCTTCCCGCCTGCCTCCCATCCCCAGAGGCTGGACAAAAGGACCGTGTGTGTGTGTGTGTGTGTGTGTGTGTGTGTGTGTGTGTGTGCACGCGCACGCGCGTTCACTGGGCACACCCTCTCATACACGCCCGTGCGTGTGCTGGGTCCGTGTGCCTGGCCACGTATGTCCTCATGCACTGTGCATACCGGCACGTGCGTGACCACACGAATGCAGCGTGTCCGTCTGCCCGTGTCTGCACGATGACACGTGTCCTGACGGCGCCCTCCCCGTCCAGCCTGCCCTGGAGAGTTCCTCTGCTCTGTGAATGGCCTGTGTGTGCCAGCCTGCGATGGGGTCAAGGACTGCCCCAATGGCCTGGACGAGCGGAACTGCGGTGAGCCACCCACCCGTCGCACCCCTCCTCTCTTCTCTATGCTGAGCCGAGCCCCCTTCTTCAAGTCACGCGCGGACCCCCCCCTTCTCGGCATCCGGGAAGTGGGCTCCCTTAGCTGTGCTAGGTGGCAAAATGGAAGCGGAGAGTGCGAAAGTGGGCTCCCCTGGACCGCCATGTGGGGCAGGAGCAGGGATAAGGTGGGACCCCAGGTCTCCTGACTCCCAGCTCAGGGCTTCTCTCCATCAGGTCATGGCCCCCAGCCGGCTGTCCAAGAAGGAACAGAGTGGCTGGAGGACCAGGAAGGGGAAGGCTGTTGTGCAGGGACAGGCGAGGCGTGGGCGGCCAAGGAGATAATCCTGTGTCTCCCTCCCTCGAGTGCGGTCTTCACTCCTCTACTCAGGGGTTCGGACTGCAGCTGCCATCTTCTTGGAATTATGTTCCCCACTGCCCGGCCCTGGTGGTCTCTTGGAATAATGCCTGTCCCTCTGAGTTCTGGCTTCTGGGCCCCCAGATTCACCACCGGGGCAGCCTTTTCTTGTGTGACCTCCCCAGGCCTCCCCCAACCCCATCCCACCCAATTTTACATCCTTGGGGAGAGAAGAGGGAGGGAAGGGAGATGTGCTGGGGAAGGTGCCTCATTTTTGGAACCAGAGCATCTGGCTGCAAGTTCTGGCTCAGCCAGGTGACCTTGGACAAGTCACTTCCTTTCTGTTTCCACTGATGAAACGGGGTGCCTCACAGTACCTCACAGGGTTGCTGTGAAACTTGGTGGGTAGAGTAGCTAAGAAAGACATCTGGGATCATAACACATGTTCTGCAGGCAGCACAGGGTCCCGGCCTGGCTTCTCTGGCTTCTCTCACCTGCCTCCTTTGTGTGTCCCCACACAGTCTGCAGAGCCACATTCCAGTGCCAAGAAGACAGCACGTGCATCTCACTGTCCAGGATCTGTGACCGGCAGCCTGACTGTCTCAACGGGAGTGATGAGGAGCAGTGCCAGGGAGGTAGGGGTGGGGGGTGACCAGCTGTCCAGAGGAAAACCAAGCAATGGGCTTAGCCAGACAGCCCAGCCCTTCCGCATGCTTCTTCAGCAAGGGCTTCTGCCTTCTTGTCCAAACACTTACCAACCCATCTGTATGGATGCTGATATGTCCATTCATCCGTCCGTCCGTCCAACCATCCATCCACCCATCTGTCCAACAACCTGCCTCCCAATCCACTGAACCATTAATCTACTCATCTATGAGTTCACTTAACTACCTGTGTGTCCATCATTCCATCCTCCGTCCACGTATCTATGTATGCATGTATGCACACATCCAACCATTGGTCTCTTTACCTACCTATTTGCCTATTGGACCTTCCATCCACTCATTTATCCATCCTTCTAGCTGTTTGTCAGTCTCCCTACTGGACCATCAATCCACTCATTTGTTGGTCTGCCCAGTCTCCTGTCTGTATTTCATGTTTACCCATCCATCCATCCATGCACCCATCCATCTAGCCATCTATGCACCCATCCATCTATCCATCCATACATCCATCCAAACATCCATCTATCCATCCAAGCATGCATGCATCCATCCATCCAACCATCCATCCATCTATCCAACCATCCATCTATCCATCCATGCATCCATCCGTCCATCCATCCATCCATCTGTCCATCCATGCATCCATCCATACATCCATTTATCCATCCATGCATCCATGCATCCATCCATCCATCTATCCATGCATGCATGCATGCGTGCATGCATCCATCCATCCATTCATCCATCTATCCATCCATGCATCCATGTATGCATCCATGCATCCATGCATCCATCCATCCATCCAACCATGCATCCATCCATCCACCCATCGATCCATGCATCCATCCATCCATCCATCCATCCATCCATCCATCC